ATGTGGGCCTCTCACTGCTGTGGCCTCTCCCATTGCGGAGCACAGGCTCCGGACGAGCAGGCTCAACGGCCATGGCTCACGGGCCCAGCCGCTCCACGGCATGTGGGATCCTCCCACACCGGGGCACGAACCCGTATCCCCTGCATCGGCAGGCGGACCCTCAACCGCTGCGCCACCAGGGAAGCCCCTCTATGCCTTTTTAATAAGAGTCTGTATAGTGAGTGGATGGCAGACAGGTATATTTTGCGGCCCCGCTCAGCACCCCTGAACCATTGAGGTTGAGCGTGTGGACCGCGTGCAGCTGCCAGTCCTCCCCAACCCACACTGGTCCCTCTCTCCTGCCAGCCCCGCTCATCTCAGGGCTAAGCTGTACACGTGGTAGATCTCGTCCGGAAGGTTCTCCTGCCGCTCCTGGGCCAGGAGGCTGAGGCCCGCGCTGCGGACGATCCTGTGGACCACGTTGAGGTCCCGGCACACGCTGCTGTCCACGTCGTCCAGGATCACGCCCTCCTGGGCCATGTTGTCTTTGATGACGATGATGCCGTTGGGGCGGAGGCCCCGCTTGCAGCGCCGCAGGAACTCGGCCAGGTGCTGATCGGTCAGGTGGCCTGGGGGAGGCAGAGGCCGTCACGAGGGAAGGATGCCAGCCCCTCCACACCACTGCGTATCCACTTGCTGAGCACTTACTCGGTGCTGAACACACAGGGCCACTGGCTTACAACAGCCCGGAGGGGTTTACCAAAGCCCATTTTAAGAGTAAACGGGCTCAGAAGTCACCTACCCAAGGGCAATCACAAAGTATGCTGCTGGGATTTCACCCTGACTGGGTGACTTCCAGGCCGTGCCCAACACCTACACTCCACCCGCCCCTCCTAGGCCTGGATCAGCGAAGTGTACCAAACAGAGTTCCTTCCCTACATCACAACTCCTAACAGGCTTTTGAGGACCACAAAATACAGGGCGAATCCAGCGTGTTCCCAGCAGGCCTGGGCCGCCCACCTGGAGGAGGTGGCCTGCTGCTAGGTTGGCAGCCTGAGGAGAGCACCCTGGGTATGCCGTCAGGCCAAGTGGGCGCAGGACCAGGTGGTAAAACAGGGCTCGCTCACCGTGAACAGCAGAGGGGCAGCCAGGGCTTCAACTTTTCCTCTTACTGAAAACCCCTTCTTACAAAAACTCATTTCCACATTCTTTGAATGCATTAAGTTATTGATAATTAAAATTTTTCAACAACAAAATCTGTCCCCAGATGGGTGACAGCAGGTATTGAGTTGAAACAAAACATAGAAGCAAGTGAACCTTGTAGGTGGAGTCCTGGCGAGTGCAGGGAGGATTCGAGGAATGCCCGCTGGCCGCCCTCTGCAGCAGCGCCAGAGCCTCAGCTGCCACGGCCTCGGGAAGCCCGGCCTCTGCACTGAGAGATGTGCAGGCAGGCGGAGGAGGGGCGCGGGATGCTCACCTGTCACCCACTGGATCCAGATGACGTCGTAAGAGTGCGGCTCCGGGCGGAAGTCCTGGAGGCCGCAGCAGAAGAAGTGCCTCACTCGCTTGCCGTCCTCGCCCAGGTAGGCCTTGGCCTTGACCAGAAAGTCCTCCGTCACGTCCACCATGTCCACCACTCCGAAGAGGGGCAAGAGCAGCCGCTTGGTGATCCTTCCAATGCCAGCTCCGCAGTCCAGGGCATATGAGGTTCCCGTCTGGTTTGGGCCTTCCTGGAAAAGCAGAGAAGGCAGACTATAAGGAAGGGTTAGAAAGCCAGAGGGACCCTGTCACTGCAAACGGGCCTTTCCTCACGAGCCCCTGGAACTACTCAGATCAGGCCTGGGCGCAGGCCGGCAGCCGGCACCGGTGGGGCCAGCAGTGGGCGTAAGCACAGCACAGCCTTTTTCTGGGCCACAGGTTTCTAACGTGAAAGCCAACCTCCACTTAAAGGTGTTAACTCAAATAGGTGCGTTCATCTCCTGTCACTCCTGAGACCCATTAAAAGGACAGCAGCAGAGAGAGAATAAAGAATTCAAGCAGTGAAAGGATGGAAGAGGGCACTTAGTGAACAAATCTGGGAAGATGGAACGTGGGTGGAGCAGGGGGCAAGCAGCAGCCTCGGTGTTTGCCGAGGGACGGGCAGGGAGGCTCCGGCCACGGCGATGCCAGCCTGGCACAGAGGAGGGTGGCGGGGCAAGGAACTAGAAGCCTGTGCTGGCTGAACGGCCAACACCCACAGCCCAGATGCTTGCAAACACGGCAGGAGAGCAAAGGTTTTGCCTCTGGAAAAACAGAACAGTTTGTGAGGAGACTGCTCCGTTCCGGCACTGAGAGGCCCCAGCGTAACAGCCGCCTCCTGTCGGGTGACCTTGGGGCAAAGCCTGTGAGTCACCCCGCCCCACCCGCTCGTCAAGGCCTGGGTCGTGGACACGATGGGGTGACCCTGTGGCGGCGAGTGGGAAGGTGGCGCCCCACACGGAGCAGGCAGTGCCACCGGCGCCACCGCCTCTCCTGGAGGGCACAGCAGCCCCGCCTACCCTCAGAAACCTCTGCAGGAACTTCCGGGAGCTGGTGATGTCGATGCTGGAGATGTGGCCATACCCCCCGAGCATGCCGTCCACGGTGGCCGGGACCTCCTTCCAGTACGTCTTGGCCTTGGAATAGAATTGTTTCTCGTCCTCTATCACCTCGCTCGTCATGCTGTCACCAGCCACGTCTTTGCTCAGGCACCAGACTCGAGCAGCGGTGTCCCTGAATAAAAAAAGGAGGGAAGCAGCCAGGTTGAGGGCCCTGGGCTCCCCGCATGCTTCTACTGGTCACACGATCCTGCCTGACGCAGAGGAGTGGCCAGTGTCCCCCAACCTGCTTCTGCCCATTAGAGGGCATTGCCCCCCGTCTCTTGCATTCAAGTCATTTTGCAAAGCTATCTTCATGTCAGAGCAGGACACCCAGAGTCCTGGCTTCTAGTTCCTTCCTTACCCTACATGACACCTGACAGCACCCTGAGTGCAGCCTGGGGCCATGGGTCCAGTCTGTCAACAACGGGAAACTGATCAGCTGAGTTTCTGAAGGGCAGGGCTGTGCGGGGACCCAGCCTGCGGGGGCTGAGTGGCGACGGTGCAGGAACGGCAGGGCCGTGCCAGGAGACAGAACGGGGGTAGCGGCCACCCATCCTCTGCCCACACGCATTGAGCACTCTTCGCTGGCCACTGGACCCTCACGACTCACCGCGACCCAGGCACCCCACAAGGCCCGTGTGGAGGAGGGAGGCGACGCACACGGTGGCATCCTACCCAAGGTCAAGGGGCCCGTGCGTTTGCCGAGCCCTGGGCCTTCCCACGTGGGCAGCTGATTTTCAACACAGGGTTTCACTTAAGTGTCACCTCAAAGAGGCCTCCCCTGACCAGTCTAAGGTGCCTTCCTCCAACACGCTCACCCAGCCCCTGTGGTTGCTGCTTTCAGAGTGCGTATGTCTAGCTGAAATGACACTGTTTACTGACCATCTGGCCTCCACTAGAATGGAAGCCCCTGAGGTAGGACCTTGCCTTTTCACCACTGCGTCCCGGCACCAAGCCACAGTAGTCCCTCAGTGCAGGGGTGAAAGCCCCCCAGTCCCCCAGGAAAGCTGTGCACGTCTGTGCTCCCGGGGGCTCACTCCGCCCCCTTTACAGTACTGCACGGGGCTGTAGTTAAGTCACTGACCTCCCGTATGGTCCTCAAAACCAGCTGAAACCCCCGTAAGACCGAGAAGTGCTTTAAGAGCTTCAAGAGAAGTAACAGAAAAGTGCCCTGAGGACAAGCACGGGCCTTCGACACGTAACTTAGAGACCAGAAGAAGCGAAGGGGAACAAAACATGAGAAACGCTGAAGATCTTCACTGCCATGTCTGTAGTTAGCCTCCAACATACACCTGCACTCTGAACTTGTCCTGGAAGACAAGGAACCTTCCAGAAGCAGCAGGCCCACCCCAGCCAAACAACTCAGAAATGCTGCTCCCTGATGCAATTCCACTTCTGCCACGGCCAGCCCTTTCTGGAGACGCCAGCCAGCCAGTGGGGGCACCGGGGGAGGGCCTGGCCTGCCTGCTGGGAACAGATGAGAAGGGGGCCGCCTCCTCGTCCCTGGACCCGGCTCCTTCTGTGGACCCGGGCGTTCCTCGGGGACAGGGGTCACACGCGGGCCTTCTGCGGAACAGGAGGGAGCCGACAGCATCCACATGCCCCACCAGGGTCGCCCTTAGACCTGGACTTTGCCACTGTTTCCACCCTCCGTAGACCCCTTCCACTGTGCCCCACAGAGACCCCTGGCTCCCCCCCGCTTCAGGTTCTCGAATCAGCTCTCAGACGGATCCCCTCCCTTCCCTGTTCAGGTACAGGGCTTGGGACTCCAATGAGGACGGTTCCAGTTACGGCACCAACCCAAGAGCCCTTTGGGGTAACAGGCTGGGGGGCCTCAGTTCTAAATACTGCCCCCAGCCCTGGCTCACGGCAGTGTCGCACACCCGCGCCCCAGCCCACAGGAGGAAGCGGCATGCTGCTCGTGAGAATGAACTCTCGTTCCAGCCTCGAGGAACGTGACAAGCAAGAGCACGTGGAGACCTGCCAGTCCCCAAGAATGCAGATGTGGCACAGTGTCACTGTAGCTCCCTGAGAACTGACAGGAAAGGGAGCCACCAGCTTGGATGTTACCATTCACTTTCCTGGGTTTGGAGGCTGCTTATGTGGACGTGGTCCGAAAGGCCAAGTGGGCTCCTCAGCCCCCGCCGATAGGCACCACAGCAACTTTTTCCCAGCCCCTCCGCCGTCA